ATGCTTTTTATTAAAGTCAGCTGAAAGCAAAAGTAAAAAAAAAAAAAAAATTTACCAAATTTAAAGTAGACAACCCAGTATAAAAATTCTGCATATGAGGTTTGTTGCCATTTTCAATAAAAAAGACACAAGATAAAGTATGCTTCTTTCCTTCCTTTCCGTGTAAGGTTCAGATAATGACTGCCTCCTAGCTACTCTACCTCCAAAGAGCCTCTGGGTTACCGCTCCTGCAATCTTTTTTTCTTTTATATCATAGGTGCCTCTTCAGTACTTAACTGTGATTTCAAGCCCCAGCTGAGCCTCTTCGCTCTCCTCCCCTCCCAGGGTTTTCTAACTCTGCCTGGAGGGAACATCCCTGTACCAGCCTCCACCGGCCTCGAAACTGCTGAATCCCCTCCGGCACGTCTGAGCGTCTTAATCACCCAGGCAGCAAATACAGTCAATAACTACGAGTAATCAACTCAACCATTACTAAATTATTCAGCTGGAAGCAAAACAGTGCTCCCACCTACTAGGAAAATGTTTGTATCTTAGAGCAATGCTCTTTGCGTGTACTGCCAAGAATAAAATCCCTGTGAACTGACAGTCCTGTTTTATAGAAAATGGCTCATTGCAAGTCGCTAACTGGACAAGACATTGCAGCATTCACTCGCTCTGGGGTGATAACGGGGTTCTAATAATTTAACCCCACATGCCATCTGGAGGAGTACCAGGACAGCTTTTTTAAAATAATTCCTTGATGCCCTGTACTTAAGATGATTTAAGAAGAAAACCTCATAGAAACTTTCTGACAAAACAGTTTTAGAGGAAAAAGCCCATTACTTGAAACTAAATTATTTGCCTTGAACCAACTTAAGCAGAATGCAGTGAATCAAAAGGAGAATAACTGATGATAACTATAAATTTCCTAAATTTATAGTGAACAACTGGACTATTCGGTGCTGCCAGTCCTGTATCCTGCAGGGCCAGTTATCCGTACCCACATGGTCCCAGCCTGCGCGGCCTCGGGCCGGCCGGCCATGCCAGCACTGGCTTGCCGCCCTCAACGCTGAAGTCTGAAAGCTGGACTCCACGTCTCACCAAGAGTCACGGCTCGTCCAGGCTCAGAGCTGCCAGCCCAAGCATGAGTGTCCTGCCCGGCGCGTCGGGATTTCCAGCGCCCGTGGCGCTCAGAGCTGCACCGCAGGCGTTGCCGAAACAGGTCTGCTGCGTTCACGAATCCCGGGCGTCCCGCAGCTGGAGTGGTTCAGGTGCCCTGGGAGCGCCGGCAGCTGCCGAGTGACAATGACACCCCTGTCAGGTTTATGGCTGCTGTTAGCAGTGGTGGAGCTGACAAGCATTTATATACCATTCAGCAACCGGGGGGATGACGGTGTCCTGCGGAGCAGAAATAGAGCCTCAAACCTCATTTTGGGATGTTTCTGAAAACACTTTTTTGGTTGTTTTTTTTTTTTAATTCTCACTCTGAGGTTACTTTTACAAGTTTGATTGGACTACAACAACAACAACAAAAAATCTTCTCACAAATTGAAAGCCCTGTACTTCAGCCAGCTCCACTCTGCAGTTTAATTGCTTTAGAGCAGAGGCCATGTGTTGTGTTCTCTCAGGGGTACAGGGGAAAGTGAAATGAAAGGCAGTGAAGAAAAAAATAAAAATAAAAAACAACTCTTAGAATAAAATGAAATAGGAGTGCTTAAGGGCTAGAGTAGTTTAAAGATCAACAACATGAAGGGAACTCTCAAGGACAGTCCTTCCTTCCTCGTGCCATTTCTACAAGCATGCCTTTCCAGCTGATGCTCTCCTGCTCCCCCAAGCACACAGCCACAGCCTGTGCTTATAATACATGCAACTTGAAAGGTTTTGCAAGTTTAACGGGATGGTCATCTTCTCAACAAAAAACATTTCACAGAGGTTAAGACATCACTTTCCAACCTCCTGAACAAATTAACCTCCCTGCTCACAGGCTGCATTTTTCAAGTTTCTACTTGGTGATTTCTGATGATAATCCTAAGGTTATGACTTGAAAGTTACACTCTATATTTCATTTTGAAGCAGTGTGTCCCTTTAGCAGTCTGCCAGATTTATTATTCCAAAAGCTGGGACTGCACATCATGTGTTTAAGAAAGATCCAAAATATTCTGCTGCACATCAGTGTTGCCTACCAGCACTCAGTTAAACATTTTTAGATCAAGTGTGTTTTAATACGACGTAGATGAGGCCCTTACGCTCTTGTCATAGCCACCTCACATTTGACAAGTTCTACTGAGGAGCAGCCTCTCCGTATCACCCGTGCTGATAAATTACTTCTGAGATCCTAGGAACTGGGGTTCATATCCTTCGTCGTTTCATGGGCACTTACACACCTGCGCAGGTACGAAATAAAGATACCTCAGTGGAAAAAGGAGGAAGAAACGGGTGTTCATGTCTTGCTTTCTCAGAGGACAAAACAGTAAATTAAAAAGTCTCTGGAGCTGTGCAGCACACAGACACTGGTCCCGCAGATTCACCCTATTCTGCCATGCCTTTCCCATCCCCGATGGAGCACGTTTCCGGGGTCCCGTCAGGGCATCTCATCTCTATCATCTGTGCATGCCAGCTGAACTACCAGAGTACAAAAGACAGGATCCCTGTGTCATAACTGCAGAGACAGGCTACAATCAGTGCTACTCCCATTCTTTCTGACTTTGATCTGACAATTCCCATTTCAAAAACAGCTAAAAAACCAAACCCAAACTGCCGAAGCCTATTATAGCTTCATTTTAATTTCTCTACACTGCACAAAAGAGAGGGTCTTGGATACGCAATTTCTGCTGCACAATGAGACCTTCAGAACTGATGAACTTCTACAGCTCATAAGCATCAGACATACATAACCAGTAAAGCTGTAAGTAAATTTATTTTGCCTTTTTTAAAAATACAAAAGATGTCCACCTATATAACTGAGTTAAAAACAAATGACAGAGAGCAAGATAAGATACATCACCCAGCTCCATGTACCTATTTTGTTACATTTCCTCTCTAGTCCACCAAACTCCAAGACAGAAACTTTCCTACAGTGTTGGGTACTATTTTCTTTTACTCCTCATTATGTTATGTGAGCTTCATTTCAACTCTTTAACAGAAGGTTTTCTGACTTCACAGCAAAAAAAGGAAGGCATCAAAATAATTTGGGGGAGATCAGTAGTACAAAGTAGTCAGAGCTATGACCATCTCACCAGCTAAAGACCCAACTCTGAGTTCCTGCTCTGAAGAGAAGGGTTTGTACACACCGTTTTGGATAAGCAAGTTATGGAGAATCCCGGAGAGGGTCTTGGCACATGGTAAGGGATCAGATTAGACTGTGGTCTCACAAAAGTGGCTTGTTTCCTATGAAACAACATGGCTTGCTACTGAATGAGCAGGTTCAGAAATAGGAAAAGAAAGAGGGAGTCATTTTTGTAGGTATTGTAATGCAGGGCTCAGAAATGTGGGAAGGTCAGAGCTCCCTCCCTTCATGAACTTCAATTACTCAATCACGTGCATAGATCTTTTAAAATAAATTCCTAGGAGGACACTTTAATGAATAAACTAATGAAAGTATAATACTTAACCAAAACCATTTACTCAAAGAATAAAATCCTTTGCATTTTTCTCATATGTTCTGTAAAACAGATATTTATAATTTTCATTTATTTATATTAAAATCTCATGAAAGACATGTACCAGATTGCGTCTGACAGTGCCATGTATTATTTCCAAATTCCTGTTAAATGAAAAAGCAGAGAGATGTCTAACGCTGAATTTCTTATTTGAATTTACTCGACACTGAGGAGCTTGACAAGAAAGGGACTGGGTAGAAAACCGCATGTGGCTAGACAGAGTGAAAACCATATAGGTTTGAGCCTTCAGCATAACTCAGACCTATCTCCATGCGAAACAGAGCAATTCATCCAAACTCTACAAAATCAGAAACTTGCATAAATGGGGCCAAAAGCTGAACCTTTTCCAATTTCAGCTTTAATACTGTAAAAGATACAGCCTTATTTTGCAAAACAAAACTTTCTTTTGTCCTCTCAACTTCCTTGGAGTTTTTTTTCCTTCTATTTTCCTGGTCTGGAACAGGATTACTACATTGCAACTGTCTGTAGCTGCTGACACAGCACTTCATTGCTTAATGATGCACCACCATGACATTTTTGGGAACAACTGCACATCACAGAGCAGCTCTATTGCCTTGAGTGTCTCTGCGGCAGGGGATTCACAAGAACCCAGTAAAGATACCTCTGCAACAGATCTGTGGACCGAAAGAACTGAATTTGACATTTAAAAAAACCAAACTGACATTCTGTTATACTGTAACATAGCATCACTTAAATGGAAAGTGGAGTGGACACAGCAATAGCAGAGGCAGGGAAGGGTTTAGCATAACTAACTTGCTGAGTTTGCACTTGCACTGATACATTTTAATTTAGCTGAAGATCATTTTTTAAAAAACAGCATAGCTGAGAGCAAGATTAAGCAAAAAGACACAGAAAGCAATAAGAGATTACCTTTGGTTTACCACTGTTCAGCAAGGGCTTTTGCTGCCAGGGAGATAAATCACAGTTTGTTTAAACAGCTACTAAGCATTTATGCTCTCAAGACAGAGGTGTTAACCTTGCTGAACTAGCTCTATTTCTGTGACATTAATTTCTAGTCCAATCATTCTGGTAACTTACCTGCTTGAAACTCTTGATTCACAATAGTTAAAAAAGAATACGTATTTGTAAACTCTGACCATAGCAGAAAGCACTACTGAAACGCAAATCTTTCAATTTAAACAGGAACAGAAAACAAGGGATCTGATAAAAGGCAAAATTATCAATTTGTTATTGGAGATTGAAGTTGCTGGTTTCTCCTTCCTGTACTCAACAATTCATTAAAGCAATTACAGATTAACGGCATCATTAGTTTCTATGTTTTCTTTCTTTGTCTCCCATTCTTTAACAGACACAGTAAATATGAGTTTAACAGAAACTCACCAGTGGAGTGTCTTTCCCCCCGACGATGCTGAGTCCTAGGCCTGACCGACCCTTAGATATCTCTATAGTCATCTCCTGGCCCGGAACTATAGGACATGTTGCTGGATCCACAGGCAATGACGGTGGAAAGACACCTAAGAACATGAAAAGGTAAAGAAATAAGTCACAGTATTCAATGAGAAAACAAAACCCATCAAAGGAATCGTACGAGAGCAACTAATTAAGCTTTGTGTTTTGCTCTTCACCGTTACCAAACTAAATCAAACTAGAAGAGTAGTCTGAGTCACTTCTGACGTCTCCAAATCAGAATGACTCTAGAGTTCTGGGAGTGAATGTTCAGCATAAATGTCCGGGAGGACATCTAATTCAGTTATAACCCAATCAATTCAGATCACGATGGCAAGGTGTACTCCATTCAGGACAGGTAAGGCCATGTTCCAGGACCATGGAATGGACAGAATGTCCCCGAATGCCTTTCATTCTGTTTTAATTAAAAAGGGGAATGATGCCTTTGTATGTAAGAGTCAAGAAAAAATGAGCAAAGACACCTTCAAGCTCTAAAAAATTGTAAAATGAGACAAAAATACACTTCATAAAATAGGTTATTGGATTTTCAAAGAAAAAAATTTTGGCAAAAGTTAACTGGAAAAAAAAAAAAGAAGAATATCCATCCTGGGTTAGGGTATTAAATATACACCATATTAGTGGAAAAAATAACTGGTTCATACTATGGCTAGTGACTTCTGCCTCTGGAGAAAGATAAGTAGGGGCTGGCACCAGGGGTATCTCCTGTAAATTGACTGGTACTTTTGTGGAAGATTTGGATTGTTTGATCTGGTTGAGGACCTAAAAGCAAAGCAGAAGAAAAAGAGATCAGTTATCAATCACAGAAAGGCATGTTATGGGGACATAATCATTAGTTGTTGATTATTGTACCTTACTAAATCCACTGAGTCAACAGTAGGGAAACAAGCAATAAGCACAGATGAACTGAAAACATTCTCTTCATAAATAAGTGGAAAATCAGGATGACTGGATAACTGTGCTTCCAGAAATGCTCACGAAGGAAGCAGGGACAGGACTTCACCTTTCTCAGCTGTGCCTCTCACACCAAATAACATGGGGATGTTGTTGTGCATTTGGATGTTGTTATTTGGATTTTTTTTACTTTTAAACAGCAAAGTACATCCTTGACATTAGCCTGTGTGACTATTTCCGTATACTTAAAGAGAAGCAAGTAATTTTTTAAGTTTCCACCAAGAAAAGGATTTTAATGTCTCCCCAGTTAACTCCTTCCCACTCAATCTTCAACTAGATCAAGCCCCAGAACTGTCCCCCCTTATTGGTTAACATACGCACACATACATTTTCTGGGAGCTGCTCCTCCGTTTTTTCCACTGGTTTGTCAGCTTTACATTTCACATCCTAAAAAGTCAAAAAAAAAAAAAAAGCAAGGTGTATTGAAAATGTCTCATTAGCTTAAATAAAATATCCTCCAAAACTCAACGTGATGGTTCTAGGCAAACACAGTGATATTTCTTCGTGTAAGTACATTCGTATCACAACACAAAGCTGAAGCCCAGAACTTGAAAGAGGAAAAGCTAGTATGAATACAGGGAATATCAAGAATTATTGAAACCACACCCAACGGCTTTGAAGGCATGCAATGTAAGGAAGGAATTTTTTGGGAGCAGATTATCATACGTGGTCTATATTGTTCCTGAGCGATATGAAGCTCTAAAGAAGGGAGTGCGTGCTCTGGGGCGAGCGGGACAGCAATTCCCCTCTGCGTGGAAAAGCGCAGGTACCCTTGTGCCGAGGCTCTAGCACACAGGGAGCTGTAAGACCCTTTGGTGCCTACAGCAGGAAGGGGTTCAAAGTAGTCTGTGCTCTCCTTCCCCCTCCCTTTTTGGTAGCCCTCAGCAGCACTGAGTATGCTGCCAGCACTTAAATAAAGGAACCGCTTAAAATGCGTCATCCAGCCTCATTATAAATATCTCAAACAATGGCACTGCACTCACAGGCTCCAGTTGTATCCTCATTTCTTTCCATATCCTTGCAGTACACTAAAAAATATTTTCTTTTTCCTATTTCTACAGCTGCTTCCAGACAGTTACAGTGTCCTCCCCTTGTTAGTTCTTAGCCAAGCTTGGGCCACTTTGATCACAGTATTAGTTAATTATCTTACCCCATGTTAAAAAAACCTGATAAACAGCCTAGTTTTCAGAAAAGCTGAGTACCAACTTCAAAAGACAACAGAGATATTCTGCATCTCAAAAGAATTTCTAATTAAGATGACAATTCATACATTTAAAAAGCATTACGTAAATCAAATTTTAGGTAACCAAGCTTGAAAACACTGGCCTTGTTTCCTGGAGTTTTATTATGGTAAATCATGCCAAGGCCCACAGACTTTTTTTTCCCCTGCATTTTTTTCTAAGCTTGCTGTAACTATACAACTGTAACTCTTAGCCAAATGGATAAGAAGAAAAAAGATAAAGTGGTGATCTCATTGTATTATCAGAGGTGTCAGGGGAGAAATGGGAAGACTGCTTTGTCATTTTATGAGACTCTTTTAATGAGCGATGAAAAATCATTTCATACTTCCCTTTTTCATTCTGATATGTGACTAAAATCTGAAACCTCGTCTTCCACATCAAATAAGCACCAAGCATCACCTTTAAATCTCTGTAATTTTCTCTATTTAACTCAGACTATGCTGGAGGTATCTGAACAAAATAAAAAGATTTCCCGCCCCTCATGCACTGAATTGTACACTCAGCATTTGTCATAAGCCTGTGACCCGACTGCTTTAATCTATTTCAATTCCCTCAAATGCACCCAAAGGTGTTTTTACAAAGCCCCTCCTCTTCGCCAATGTTTCAAGGACACGGTTTCTGTTTGTGGTAAAGACAGATTATTGTTCCAAGTTAAAATCTTTTAAGGAAAATGAATCCATTCTCACATACCAAGCATCAGTTTAATTATCCCAGTTAAGGACACTGAATTATGTACACACTCTGCCAGGACACCAATGATGCAAGATGCTTCAGAGCGCACACAATGACTGCTCGAGCCATTTTCACCTTTGTGAAGTTAAAAGTTTTGAGAACACCTCAAGGTCCTATATATCAATTCTTTTCCAATGACACCTTATGGGAAGCAAGATAGCTAGAGTCCTCAGCAAAGCGCGACTTTCTATCAGGCCACCTCAAACCTCAGCTAATAAGCATGCAGACTTTGCCTAACACTTCCATTGGCTCCAGTTCAGAAATAAAGTTTTCTTTCCCTCCCTCCCATCATCCAATTCTACAATGATGTCCATTATATAACTTTATACTTTTTTAAAGTGATGAAGTGACAACAAAAAGTATCTTGGGAGACACTGACAAATTTATCAGCAACGAATGAATAGAGGATGATGTGAATTTTTTATTACAGCTGTCACTTGGTGAGACATCCTGATCCTGCCCGTGCTTTCAGCTGTACATACTTGTGGAAGATCTCTGCTGATAAGCACACACTTTTTATTTACTCAGTGAACTTGATCTTACTTGTTGACTTTCACATTCCTGATTTCTCCTGACATAGGACTGAGAAATTCAATAACAACGGTGAAGTAGCATTAGGCTCTAGTAGCAACCATTGTGCTATGAAAAAACAAGGCACTGTTTTCTTTTGCCTCAATAGTCACTAACAGACTGCAGAGAAGTCTCTTTTCTTCAAAATAACGAGGTGTCTTGTGCTGTGCTGCAGTGTGAAATCTTAATGTCAATATGACTACAAACCCATTTCCTTCTGCTGAGATTGGACTGATCACAACCATGAGTATCTACAAAAATAAGATACACTTAGAAATATTTGCCACGTAGTTTAAAATCCCGATTGAAAGAAAACTCTGACTTTATGAAACTGGCTTTTGCTGCTATTTTTCATCCATTTATGCCTCTAACCCAAGGGTTGGCGCAACTAGAGGCATTATGGAATGAGCAGTTGGATCTATAGGCATTCAAATAGTTTTCTAAACCCATCTCCTTACCCTTAACTTTTCAGTATCTATATTAATCTAATGGAAAAATCAGTGAGTCACCTCTAAGTAAATATCCCTTGAACCAAGGCAGGGCTACACAGCAGCCAGAGGAGTGACACGCTCGCTGCCTCGTGGTCTCACCAGTGACCCAGGCAGGTCGCTTCCCCTCTGTGCTGCAGTGGGGATAATAATACTGGCCTGCTGGATAAAGCATTTTGAATTCCAAAGATAAAAAGTAAATTGTAGCAGCCAGTTACATGAACAATTTAAGTGGAAAGATGAACGTGAACAATTTAAGTGGAAAGATGAGATAACTCAGTATGGAAGCGGGAAGGAAAAACTAAGTACTATACTGATGTTCTCCTCACCTAGAGACTCTCAACAAATCCATGCCTTTGTCTTCTCTTACCTTTCTGCCATTGCCCTGTTCCAGACAACTCCTACACCAACACTATCTTTTTCTTTTTTTTTTTTTTTTCCACCTTTCGGTCTAAAATACTGTAACTTCTACCCTTTGGCTCCGCAGTTCCCTTCTTTCTTGCTTCAAGTTTGAAAAGAACTTGCCAATATATTCTGGGTTCCCTGTTGTTCCAGCAGCATCTTCCCTCGACACCTATCTTGGATTGCTGCAATTTTTTTTTTTTCCCCATTAAATTCGCGCTTCCTCTAATATCTTTCAAAAAGCTGCACAGCACAATAGCCTACACCAAGAGTTCATTTTTGTACAATACATTTTATATATTTTTATCCACTTCAGCCTTTGAGCAATTTTTCATATTACCTTGTAATCCCTCAAAAGCTTCTTGCCACATTGAGCAAGAACAGCAAAAAACCAGGTGAATTACACCTGTAAATACATACAATAAAACTCTGATTCATTTATATTCCAGCACATCAAAGGAGGATTCTGCACAAGGCTACCAAATACAAATAATCCAACGTTTTTGTAATCCATTAGGAACACAACCAATCCATATAACATGGGTGGTTAATTCTGATGCTTGAACTGCACATAACACTTCCCAACTCTTGGAGTTAATAGACTCATTAAATACTTACTAGCTATAGAACATTATGTATATTCAATTCATATTTTTTAAAAACCAGGACGTTCTTTGCAAAAGACACGATGGAGCAGAAAGAAGACATCTAAGAAAAAAATACCCAGAAACGTCAGGTTTCCTTAGCTGAGGACAGCACGCACAAACTGTGCACAGACTGTAAGCCTCAGCTGACGTGCTCCCTGAAAAAGGAGTAGGCTGTTGGACAAAAAGACTGTCTCAGCAAATTTTATGTACCTCAAGTTAGTCACTCTTCAGCATGGTTAGTAGTTTTCCATTAAACTTTTACATACAGTCCAAAAAAAGAGATTAGAGCTGCACCCTGAAGGACTTTCAGATTTCTGATAAAGCACAATCCCGACATATTAAACAACAAAAAACTCCATCTGTACCAATGAGAAGTTCAGTATTTATTACAGTGCACACTGACAGTACCACATTAAACCAGAAGTTATGGGCTTGATGTAGAAATTACTGACAGTAACTCTATAGCTATGTTATTCAGGATGCAAGACTATATTATGATAATAGACATTTTGGCCTTAGAATTTATGAAGCTATGAATATAAATAAGAATATGATTTACAGACCACTTTTTTTTCTGAAGTTTGTCACACATGGATGGCAAGAGTGGAAACTCAAACCTCTCACTGAGAAAGAACTCGAGAGGGCCAAAATGCTACATAAAAACTCTTATCTCAAGATTTTAACAAATTATACTGAGTACTTAGTTCATTAAAACAGTCTATGACTGTAAAGCTAAGAGCTTGATTCTGCTCTTACACATACTGCATATTATTTGACAAATGTGTGCTGTAATACTCCAACACAAAGGCAGAGAGAAAACAAATTAAGCCAATGAGCCTCCATTTTCTAAGCTCTAATCATCATTAAATACCACTTTAAGTCACTTACAGCTTTGTTGGATTCCTCATCAGTCAAGCTTTTCATGACAACTTCCAAACTCGGATCTTCTTCACTGCTTGCAGGTTCAGTGCCACCATGATCCTGGCAGAAAGGAATGATAACACTTTTTAAACAGAGCTATGATCCGCCATAATAGCTAAAGAAAAAAAAAATCAGGCAATTTTACCTTTTCTTTTGTTTTTCTAAACAAGTAGCAGCATGAAAAAGTAAAAAAATCCACAATTAACACATCCTAATGTCAGGAGACAAATAAGCGATACAAGTTTTGAAAGACAGACCTTGGTCTCCACTTGGCCAACCCAAAGTACCACAAGATAGTCCAATACTAGGACTTAGGTGCTTGGTCAGCTTCCAAGGCCAGACTAATTCCTATCAACTGTGAAAACTTTGAGTTTGTATTAAGAGGCCTTCTCCAGACTTCTGTCGGGACGGAGAGTCTCATGCGTGCTCAGGGCGTGAAAGGAAACCCAATTTCCTTCATACAGTCTGAACAGGTTGGTAAAAGCAGGACTGAGTGCTGCACCCTGGAGGAACCTAAAGCTGAAGCTCTTCTGGTTAAAGCACATGGCCACCAAGCCCAGAAGGCTTAAGCCAACGCTGGAGCACAATCCTCAACTTCAACTGCAAACAAAGCCTCAGGATTCAGGTACTTCTGCACGTCACTGTGAGAATACTGCAAATGACATTCAGTGACTGAGAGAACCAGCAGATGAAGGTAATGGCCCTAAAGACCTAAGTATTTTCACCAACATGTGCTCCAGAACTTTCTCCTGCAGGAAGTTTTTCTCTTTCCACATAGGATTCCCAACAAAATGGCCCTTGAAGCATAAAATAGCACTATACTAAGTAGAAAAGCTTGTCTGATCAGGATTTTCTGGTATTTTCTCTAGATAACAGGTAGCGTGTATTTAAGAAGCATATGCCTGCAAGAAGAATTATTTCTTTTCCACACCGACAATTAAACTTAAGATAGATAGGAAATGGCATCTTTTCAGAGAAAACGTTAAGTTAGAATTTAAAGGTTAGAGTATCACTAATTCCATTACTTGTAAAGTTTAACATGTTAATTCTCCTTCCTTTTTTTAAAGCAATCATGTCCTGAATCTGAAAAGATTTTTTATCTATTATTTTGATTACCTTTATTTTAAAATAGTTTTATTACACTTAAGCCTTTGATCCACATTTGGAATTGTTCCCTCTTGCAAAGCAAAATAGACTAGGTGCAACGAATCAAATTTCAAGATTTTCAGTCCTACAAGCAAAGTTATTTCAGAATTTCCATTAGACATTTTACATTTAAGTGCACAATGAGAATTATGCAAATGTCTCAACAGAAACTTGAGCATGTGAAGTACCTCTGCATTCGTACAGGGGCTCACTCTGTTCAGTACTGCAACGAAATAATCTCATTTAGCGGCTTTCTGATGAAACTTTTTAAAACAGATATTTTACAGTAATTAATTTTTAAAATATTTTGCTTCTGGTAGCTTGCCCACAGTATTACACCACAACATAGTCTCATCCTGTCCTGCAACTCCATGCAATGATGCAAGACCCTGGTTTAAGGCATATTTGCTGTTCATCACTATCCATATTAAAATACCTTAATGAAGATAAAGGGATAAAATGAAGAAATTAACACAACAGTACATGCTAACTATGGCACCCCGATATTCCGTTACACTAGCCAGGCTACTGAATGGCATCTGACAAGTTTCAGGTACAGTGTAACACACAATGTTAAATATTTATTTGGTATTTCAAAGATATTTGAAAATATAACTTCAAGATATGATGCACAGTCAGTTTTATTTTGCTTTATTTAAAAGACAGGAACCACTGACAAAGGACAGCAATGTAAATTTCTATACAACAACACTATCATTTGGTTACATTTATTTTATAATAATAAAAAGATACTAGCTACAAGTAAAAATCTGCATTTACTTATAAAACAGACATAATGTAAATAGTAAAAGCTTGCCACTAATGCATGAAACTCAATCCACAAGCATCTACCTCTAAGGGCAAACATCACACATGATGCTGAGCGCTTTGGTTTCCACATGCTGGTAGAGTCTAATTACAGTCATTTGACCACAGCACAGAGTGTGCCTAAACAAGGCTTCGTGCTCCATCCTGAAGACACAGATATTAAACAAATACAGGTATTAAAGAGTCAACAAAAGCAAAAAGAATGTGGGTTCTGTAAATTGTAATGTGCAATCCACCAGCTGCACCTGGGGCATGCTGCTTTTATGGAGGAGAGAAGGAAAAACCAAAGCACTGTCCAAAATCGACTCAGATCCAAACAAAAACCGAGCAGCTCCTGCACTGTACAGCACTATGCCTGTATGGAAGTAGCCATCAGTGGTAATATAATCTGGAAAGCAATAGCAAGCATGCAAACAGGAGATTCATCCAGCGTTACCTAGCGTGGACCACTGCTGTGGGATCACAGTAATGCTTATTGAAATACCAGGAGTTCAACGCACATGAATTTATCAATTCAAGGCAAGATCAAACCCCAATTGAATTATAAAACATCTTTTGCTTTATTAGCTCAAATAGAAATAGAATTAAAAAGCAACAGCAAGGCTAACCATGTACTTTATCTAGAAAATTTAGTTACACCATATCAAGATGTCAAAATGATAACAGTGTGGTGACACTGCAGGGATTCATGGTGCACAAGAGAGCGAACAGTCTGCACTGGGGCTCAGATAGCAACTATAACAAAGGAAAACGTGGGTAACAGCACCAGACTAAGGAAGTTTTTGCATCGGAAGATTGTGCGTTACAACGCTGTGCACTAGAGCTCGCTGCTTAAACAGCCCTTGTCTGGTCTGACAGGGAGGAAATGAGCAGGAAGGAGAGAGCTCGATGCTGGGGCATGGGACAAAGTGGTGGACCAGGGTCTCAGTTAGTCTAGAGGGGCTCTTGGAATGCCAACCATGTAAACAGTGACCTCTATTACTGTAGCTAGTTGCTCGTGATCCCTTCTTCATTTTTAGATATGCTGATAAGAAAGTATTTGGGGGGAAAAGGAACTTAGAGGGTGAAGGGCTTTCCCCTGAAAAACACTCGTTTCTGTTCCATAGGAGGATATCCATGTTCCAGGTAAAGATCCTCACTGCAACTACTCTAACCAGCTGAAAAAGGTGCAGGATAGGAGATGGCAAGGTTTTCATTTGGAGACTTCTCTTCCTCCTGTGCAGCAATAATCTGTTTAATAGCTGTCCTTAATGCCATGCCAGCCCTTTCAGTAACGATGAGATCAATAAAGGAGACAGGGGAAAATATGCCTGTTAGGTCAAGTTCCGACCCAACGCATTTTATGATTCAGGGTTTAATTAGACAAGGTGCTCAAATTTATAATGTACTGCTAATTATGATTAATCTATCTAATTTAGCAATCCTTAATTAAAAAAAACAACCCATAAACCCTACCTCAATAGAAGAATGGGAGCTGGAAGGTAATGGAAAAGGAGTAACAGCCATCTGATTGACTGCATCTTCACTTCTGTAAAACAAACAAACAACAACATATTACACACTAAACCAAACTTTTACTTTTGAGTTGGTCTTGCCCATTAAGAAAACACTCTTACTAGCACAAAAAGTAACTGTTTCTTACCCCTACCAGAAGTTAGAGCTTAGAAAAGCACTTCATTTTTGCTTTTGTTCTTTGCTGGCAAACAGACTACATCCCTTCGTGGGACCACAGTAATTTCTTCTGAGACATACTGACATCACATTCTTTGGAAATCTAATTTTGTGTGGATTATCAGAGGCTGCAGTTGGAGTTTAGGGTCCCTACACATCAGTAGATGTGCTAATACTTCGTTAGCCTCTTCTAATAGTGTCTACATTTGTAAACTGCTTGTTTATAGTTTAACATTCACATTACTGAAATATAATACCGGTTTTATTCAATAGATTGCTTTTTCTTTTTTGTTCATATTTGTGGTGGTCTTTTCTAAAAGATTCAATGTAAAAACTTGGCAGAATTTTTATAAAATGCAGGGAGAACAGATGAACATTGATTCCCCCTACATATAAAGTGCATTATTTTTCAAAGATGCTTATTATGTATGGCATCTTTTCTCTAGCCTCTTTAAAATGCAATCCTAAGTTGACATCTGATTACTTTAACTTTCAAAAGGCTTTTTTTTTAATTAAATAGCATTCTGCCTTGCTAATGTTTTTCCTCAACTGCCATTTAAAATTATTTGGCTTGCAGAATTAACTCTGCATTTTTTTGGCCTCTGTAAAACTGAACCAAGTAAAATACAACTTCAGTGATATTGTTTAAGGCAAATCTGAGGCAGATAAAAAAAAAAGACTCCAAATTTTGCTTCAAAAACCGTATTGATGCACCTCTTTATTTTTGGGGTGAACAACTCTGACAGAACACAGAAGCCAGGAACATGATGCAAACCCCATTTTGCTAAAGATTCAGTACTATCGCACAGCCTCTTCTCGCCAAAACGTGAGAGAGGAGGAGTCAGTAACACTGCTGCTTTGTGGACACGGATCTTGACGTGAAAGGACGTGACTGCTCATGCAGTGGGTCTTCTGGGCTTGATTTCTGGTCCTACGTACTACCTTCCAAGTTACTGTAACACAAGCAGAATTTTTTCCTCTTTAACTTCTGAAATAAAATATTAGACTAGTATGTGTTTAAAAAAATTTCGCAGAAGTGCCTGAAAGAAAAAAAGTCTCATTTTATCCCTCAAGAGTTAAACAAATGAAGCTAGCGTGTTCTGATCACGGAAAGACAACACTGGAAATCAACAGCTCTCAGCAGAGCTGCGTATGGGAAATTCAGTCACAGGCATTTGAAGTGATAAATCCTGCAGGCAAAGGTTGGTGAATTCATTTACTTATCTTCAACCAAACAGCCATCCAAGTCAAAGGAATTGGTTCTGTGCTGCTCATTTTTGTACTTGCTCCCAGCCTCTCCTCCTGGCCCTGCTCAAAGCCTTGCAAGAGTGAGAAGCCACGCTGAGATCAGAACCAGAGCGGCCCGTGATGCAGAAACACGCGTGCACAGGGCCAAGACAGGAATCCAAGGAATGCACAGAATCAAGCCCATGAATTTCAAAAGCGTTTCACAATTTCCAAGTGCATTTTACCTTGTAAGGTGCATTAGGCAAGGACATTTTTCCTCCTCTTATCTTTTTCTATCTAATTATGTTGCTTTTCTAACTTATAAGAATAAATCAGCAAACATAAGGTGTCTAAGAAACCTGGCAATTTTTACTTGACTGTAGAGATTTTTCGGACAATAGTTTATATGAAGCACAAACAGCATGAAAACTAACAACGCTTCTGTAGCGTACAATGCATGCTGCATACCTTGCAATTAGGAGCAAACGTGAAAATAACAAGGTTTGTATATTCTAAAAATTGCTAGGCAGAAGCTTCATGATCTGCATGACAAAGTGGAGTGTTATTAATTATACAAACTAGTTTCTACTTCATACATACACACAAAATGGGTTTTTTTTCCCCTATCACTGGGCAAACATTTTTATGTAGGTTTAAATGGATGGCCATTTTTGTTCCAAGCAATAAAAAAACCCCACATACAGTAATTCCCTGGAAAAAAAATGCAAAAAATAAAAAACCAAGGTTACAAAGTGTCACAACTTGTAATCTCCCCCTGCTAGGACTCGTACATATTTAAATACTTTAATGCTGCTTCAAAGGAGAATGCTTCAAAGCAGAATCAAAGTGGGAACATATTTTAAAGTGACAGATCTAATAATAAATTGCTCTTTCTGCTCTCCACTTCCCTAAGTGTCCTCAACTAAAACATGAATTTATTTACAACTAAAAGGAGCAATCATTTTCTTTTGATGCCGGAGCAGACAGCTTAGAAGTCTGAACATCATATTCAAATTACAGTGACTGCAAATGAGCATTCAACATATTTGCCAATAGTTGCTACATAACCACCTCCGAGAAAGCTGTTCTCAGTTACCAGTGCTCAATATTGCTTGAGGTTAAGATGTCTAAACCCTTCACAGTCAAGACAGCTTCATACTCGCAGGGTCAATGCAACCTACAATGCAATTTATACAGCAGGGAGGCTCAGATGCTCCCCCCTCCATTATCTGCAGAAATTATAAACATCCACCGCTCCGGTTCCAGCTCTCATACTGGTTTGGATAAGATGCTGGGATGGCAGCCCACCTCCTTGCTGAGCTCGTGCACCAGAGAGCTGTTTATATTTCATCAGTTACATATAAACTGAATAGGGAAGGAATTCATCACTCCTCCCACAAATACTTTTATTGCTTCTAACCTCTCAGGATAAGTTTCTGAGTGAAAATGGGAATTAGATCTGCTTGGAGGTTAGACTGCCTATTGCTTGTATCAACATCTCTAACTATAGCTTGATACTGGAGAAACAAGAAGCTTCCCTCATCACAAAGGGTCACAGGAAGCAAGATCAAAACAATATGTAAGTGGCAAAGGCTCTTTAAACTTTAGAAAAGCTCATGCCCATTCAGATTTATTTGGTCAGATTGCCATACTTTACCACATTTTACTTGCTTTCTAGCCTAAATAGGACCCTGGGACATTCCCTGTCCTTTCTCACTGACCAAAGAGAAGAACTTCTGATGTTTTGCTCCATCTAAGAATTGCACCTCTGCTGAAGGGAGAGATGTGCAGCTTAAGCAAAGACAAATACAGCTATTATTGACTAATAATTAGCTACCATAAACACTTGGCACAAAAAAAGCCCTAAGAGAGCAATATGCAAATATAAATCTAAAGGGATTACTCATTCCACGCTGCAGAAAGTAAGCCTAAAGGGAAGTCAAAGTTGTGTGCTGTAAGGCTTCAGCTAAGCTGCCCTGCAACACTGTGCTGCACTTATCAGAAAGCTGTCTCTGGCACTATGGAGAAATGTCACACACAGCTGGAATGGTGTATAAAGCATTCAGAAAGTTATCTTTCTAAAGACAATAACCAGAAGTCACAGCTTCAGCCAAATTCATGGGATTTTTTGCATTTGCTCATCAACCTCAGTCTTGTAATTCTTGAACTGAGATTCCCTACCTTCCTTTGAGGACATTTTCTGTTTTCCATTTCACTTACTCTTACATCTCTCAGGTTTGTGATGGTATAAGCTCACTGTCATGCCAAGAAAATCCTTGTTGAGCATGCTGAGTGAGATTCATCACCTGTCTAAAGCAGAGCATCTTGTCCAAGATAGCATCCAAACTTTGTCTATGATCAGTGCAAAATCAAGGCAAATCCAAACCAGATCCACTCAGAAGAGCAATTCATCCCAGCACCTAAATGACCTAATTTAGGATGGGATGAACTGAATTGTCTTTGGAGGTTCCTGACAACTGAGGTCCAGATGACCTCTAGATGTCTAAACTAAGGGAGATGAACCTCCTGCCAAACTATCTGCAACTACACACATCATCAACACTAAAAGATCATTTGACAACAGCTTTGTCAGGGTTTGTGGATGCTTTGAGGGAATACAAATTACATCAAGAATCAGGAGAAAAACCCAACAGCTTGTATGCAGTTGCATAGCATCTTAGTTGGAACAGATCTGGAGAGCAAGTGAATGAAGAACGTTTGCCCAGTAACCCCTTAGGACTCCCGCTGGTTGTGACACCAGGGCATAAAGTCCTGCAGATTATTGAAAACCTATGCTGCCCTCATCCTGTTTGTTTAAAAAAAAAAAAAAAAAAAAAAAAGAAGAAGAAAAAAGAAAAAAAAGAAAAAAGAGAAAAAAAAGAAAAATTAGGTCAGGATCTCACATTTTCTCATCTTTGTTTTCCTCTAGATGTTCCTTTGGAATAGAAGAGCTGCAGGAAAGCTGCAGACTGAAAAGGCACGCTGGATTTTTCCTTCAGCTGGGTCAAGGCAAGACATTTGTATTGTGCATCATCTTGAAAAATCTCTCCCATTAACAGCAAGAACAGTCTTGTTCTCCATTTCCGCTCCATCCACTCCTAACTATGTGAGAGCCAAATGCATACAGATATTTTAAATGAACAACTAATGTTCATATAAACTGCAGCTTAGGTCATCAAAGGTTTGAAAGAGCCCAAATTACTTAACTTCCTCAACCACGCACTTGTTCCCACATGTGTATGACAGCAAGGAGGAAACAGCTCTGAAGAAAACAGGAAAAAGTTCAAACTTGCACACACAGTGTCTGGCAAGAGCTTATTTTTAAAGCTTTCCCACATGAAAGAACCTAAGCAATCAAAGCAAGTAAAAACAGAGTTTATACTATTAAAATATGACCAATTATCTAAGTTAGAACAAACTTAAAGCAAAAATAATTTCTAAAGCATGACAGTATTTTAGACTCTGGCACACAACATACAGTGTTACTTATAGAGGCTCTAAAAGAAGAGCAAAGACCCAGTGATAACGTCACAGCAATGGAGAGCGTTAAACAGCACCGAGAACTGGCTGACCCAGCCACTGCCCGCAGACTATAAGGATCTCTCTCTCCTTTGCATGTCACCATAAATCGCAAGAGATTAGTCTTTACAATTACACCTAGAAATGGAAGGAGGGGTTAGGTGACAGAGATTTGTGGGCTTCACTGAGAAGCTACAATCCCATCACCAGAAAGCGATGATAACTGACTGAACAAATGACTGCAGTGTGGGAGGATGACCGGACAGCTAACAGATGGTATTTAAATAAGCAAAATCCCACCGCACTTTATTCTTAAAGCATTTCTCATGTTTCATCACAGCACAAGACAGTTTTCTTTTAAGGAATAAAGGTATACCAAAGAACAAATCACAGAACTGAACACAATGGGATGATGGTTTGAAATCAGTGGCATTCACTTTGATTCAAGCATTCAAACTATATTTGATCTGCTTATTATACCAACACTGAAGCACCGAAACAGATTAAAGGCAGTTAATTGAGCATGGAAAAAACAATGAATTTGCTGAATCATAAAATTCTCACTGTAAAAGAGCATTCCGATATAAACTGGATTTCCTACTACAGATGCAAAATCTAATTATATTGTTTTATTATGCACCTTAAAAGGATGGACTTACAATACATGAACAAAAACCACAGTGGATACAAAAACTGTTCTATTTTGGGAACTAGGGCACAGAGGCTCCTACAAGAAACAAGTCCCTTTCTCTGATTACTACCTGGCTAATTCCCGTTGTTGGAGACTCAGATCACGGATTTCAAAAGGCAACTAAGACCTTTACATACGCTATTGCCACTGACTTCCACTAGCGCTTCCTTCTACGCCTTGGAAAGCTGAAGTTAAATTTTTATTTATTTCTGATATTCAGAAATCAAAAAAGACAACTCGTATTTGCTGCGGTAGCTTGGAAGTTTCTGCAGCAGCTGTAAGACTTTGAGGTCAGATAAAACGCGACTGGATACTAATCAAAGGAAGCACTTGGACCAAGCCATTTCATCTCAGGAAAACCTTGCCGTGCTTGGGCAATTGGTTTGTTTGTTTGTTAAACCGGGTGAGCAGGTTAAATGCCTTCAAATTTGTTACTGTAGAAGGCTACAAAGCACAAGATGCACTGAATAATAATAAAAAAAAAGTAAAGTGACACTATAACTGCAAATCTTTTAGATGCTATTACAAGCTCATGTAATTAATGAGACCACTGGGAAACAGTGCTGTGTTAAGACCTAAATTTTGGAATCTGGCCAAAATCAACTGTTTTAAATAATCATCGTCAACTTAATTGAGGAAAGGATGCTTATAAATGAGAGTGAAAAGCCTTCAAATATAAGGGGACGTCTATGATTCTCACAACACTTACTGCACTATGTCTCATCAGCAAAAATTTCAGGAAAGGGTGGGAATACAATTGTAACGCTACCTGGGTATAAAAAAAAAAAAGTGTGAACAGATTTTTATAGCGCAGACAAGTAAGTTAGGATTTTAGTAAAAAGTCAAAAAGGCTGAGAACACCTTCTATTCTTTATTTTTTCTTTAAAAAAAATATTGGTGCAACAAAATCTAAGTTCTTTAATGGTAGTTATTGCAGTTCTCACAGAAAGGCTTTTCTGTGCCCAGGAATTTCTGGGCTTCTTTCGTAACTGATTAAAGTTTATGGAAACATCCCCCTGCCCTGCACATGAACCAAAACACCAGAAATAGGAAAACCTTGATGCTGTTTCCTGCTTCAAAGTGAAAAGCAGCATGCTTATCGCTGAGCATCCTTCATCTGAGGAAAATAAGGCCTCAGGATATCAAAGAGGGCATTTTTTAGCCCAAGAGTCTCCCCAGTTTTGCTTTTCTGTCCTAGGTCAGCTCAGTCAGGCATGCAGGAACTTTTTAGGCTGCAGAATGACGCGTTTCTGGAAAATTATAACCTACTCGGGCCTTTCACTGGTGAAATTAGAATATTAATATCTCCATCCACATGAAGACCAAATCCATTTCTCTCATAACTCCTGCAGTACACGTTATTTTGTTACGGTGAGCTGTGGCCTCTTCTGACTGCATGCTCCAGGATGTTTCGGCTACGTTATGCTATGAGCCTTCTTCTTTAAAAGAAGTTGCACAAGTAAGAGCGCTCAGGGGGAGAAAAGCAGCATTTCTGTTTCAACTGGCTCCTCCTCATTTTCAAAGCCTAACAAATGGAACGGTACCCTGCTCTTTTTACATCATTAGAGCCCAGAGGAACACATCTGAAATCAGCCAAGCAGCAAACCTACCAGGAGAGCAGAGTCTGCGACACTCAACGCTTTGTTCTCAGCTGGAAAGCTAGTGCACATGCATGTACGAGAGACGGATGGAGATTCAAGATGCCTGTTGCTGCTCTTGTTTACTACAGCTGGCACCACAATGCATTAAGTAGTGGCATTTCAATACCCTCATTTTATATTATGGTTTTAAAATAAGTTGAGAAAGCAAGAAAAAACTTTTTCTACCAAACTGCACCACGGACAAGACTCCTGGGACCAGCACAGTCTTTTGGTTTGTGTTTTCAGTCAATCACATCCATTGTTTTGCAGTCTAAAGTGCAGGAATGGGAAGCACCAAGATAGAATGGGCTCATGGAACACAGTTTGCAAGAAAAAAGAAAGTTATTCTTGTTTCTCCTTAAAATTCACCTTTAAGAAAGACAGTCTAATTAGGCTTTGCTAAAATTTTGAAACACTTCTCTTCCTATGAGAAGTTGACCATACATCCAAAAAAAGGCGACATTAGTTTTCTCCTCGCGTTAGAGCCAGTAGTCTCGTTACTAACGACATTCTCTCAGTGGGAGAATTTCTTTTCATTGCTGTTTGAACGGCTGCTCGGGTCAAGCGAACAGACCCATCAGTTGTCAGTGTACTCTAACGCAAGGCCGAGAGCAGTGACAAGATGCGTGCTCTTGGGAAGGGTGAAGATAGAAGTTTACAACCTCAGAGGCAGCATTTAAAAATAGAAACTTTTTTTTTTTTAAACTTTAGAGACAGAAACAAGAATTATCTAATGGTATTTCCAATATCTATTGATTATCACCATTGAGACAACTTTTTGACTTGAAATCCACTTCTAGACAGACAATCTGAAAAGGGGAATTACGGTTAAGAACTTACGGGGCCTTTATGTCTTAAAGAGGATACAAATTATGCACCCAGGGCAGCTGGAGCTAACACGCACCCTTCGTTGCAGCTCTGTGAAGCGCTCTGCAGCCAGCCGCAGTGCAGCAGGGCGGGTTGCAAGAACCCCACGCTCTCCGTGCTGCCTGCCGGCATTAAACCCAGCCCTGGGTTTTGGTTTCATAAGTTGTGGTTCTGCCTCTGGAGCTTCCAACCAGATACATTTTCCACATGCAATTAAGTAATAGTGAGTGAGTTGTTGTACATGACGTTTAATTTTCGATAGCTGGGGAAAGTAACACGGGAGCTGCAGGCAAGATCATTAATCTCCTCCAGATCCTCTGCGCTGCCAAGTATAGCAACTCATTCCTCACGGCGCTAATGCTGCTCTTCCATCATTTCTGTGTATGCTGTACCAGACAGAGCCATGCGAGTAAATGTACACATTTATATGCATTCACCCACAGATTATTACATTGTTCACAGGTAAGCTGCGTATGAGCAAAGAATATAAAACAATATCAAGTATGATGTATGTATTGGTGGGAAGACCGCATTCTAAAATGGCACGGGGATAAGTGCCCGATGAAAGTCAGAGCTGGAACAGATGCATTTATGAAATTCCAATATATTAAAGTGTGTATGAGTTCTGGGAAAGAGACAGCTTCTTTGCAGCCCTTCTGTCCAGGGTCGTAAGAGTAACACTTCCTGAACTACAAAGTGAATGCATGGAGGTGTCCTTAATTCACATACAAAGAGGAAACATTTTTGTGCTTGGAGTAAAAGAAAAGATGCCCACATGAAATTCTTTTCAGATGAAAGGTTGTTTTAGCATATTCCCTCCTGCAGAAGCCATTCCAGTGCTTCTTGTCAAAGTCAGGTTCCCCCTCTGTACAAATAAGCCCTAGCTCACTTTCTAAATCCTCTTTTGATGCCCGTACAAAGCTATCCTTCACGCATCCACCCAGCCCATGCTCCACGTACTCCATCCACACTTGCCTGCTCCTCTCCGAGCAGCTCCCTCTCCAGCCCCAAGCCTCTGCACCATGTTCTCTCCCTCCTGGCAGTCTGGGTGAAGCAAGCTGCCCACCCCATCTGTGTGCTGGCAGAACCAACCTAAAGCACATTAAGTTGTGGGAGAAGCAGCTCTTATCAGGGTGCCCTTATCAGGTGTCCCAAGAGGGACAGCTCAGGTCTTCAGCAGACACCCCTAAAACAGGCATTCAATTGCATTAGATTTTTTTTTTTTAAACATCATTAAAGAGAACTCTTCAACTGTTCTGAGAAGAATATTCAAGGAAAAGGTTTAATTCACTTCAAAGAGGACTGAGCAAGTTCAGCATTTTCAAAACAGGTTAAATATGTAAACATGTAATGTAATAGGCTAAAGTACAAAGTGTTTTGATGAGAACTGTTCTTACCGTATGAAAACTAGCTTGACCTTTGATGGGGCAGTCTTAATGATTGCAGAAGCATTCTGATGACTTCTTCCATACAATATCTGATTGTTTATCTGTTAAAAGAAAATGAAGATTTTCATTTAAGTGGAGAAGTATGCATTGTTTTAATTTTTACCGCCAAGAGTTACAAATTCACTGTGGGATAGAGATAAGACTCAAAGAAAACGTGGTCCACAAAACATAAATGGCGTAACTTTTGAGGTTTGAGAGACAGGAATACCAATGTTGCACATAGGAGACAGGCACTGCTCAGCTTGGCCTTGGACTGCCCCAGATTGTCATCCCTTCCTTCCCTCAGTCAACTACCAGAGGAGGATGGGGTGTAACCTGCAACTCAGCAGCAATAATTTAAACATTTCTCATTAGCTTTCTTATGATTCCTTCTGAAAGGATAAATCCTAATTTGACTTTAAGAACATCCTCCTCCTCATATTGATTCTATGATGGACCACAGAATTGCAGCCTAGGAATGGATTTTAAAATATTACATTTTCAACATCTTAGACTCCAATTTATCAAAGAAAAAATACTGTACTAATAGCAAAACATTCCAAGTTTTATTCTAGACCAATACAAAACAGAAACCAATGCAGAGCTAAATCAGTCTTATTAGTAAGCCACAAATGAGAGAAATCTTTTACACTTTTTCACAGATCCATAGAATGGATTTTAAGTATGTTCCCAGATTTTTGGAAAACAACTTGATCTGAGAAGAATCCTATAGACATGACAACAGCACAGATTGTGAGACAGACACTCCTATACCTTACCTACAGGCAACCAGCAGTTTAGGAAAACTTGCTGTGAAGATTGTGCTGACTCCCCAGTTTTGCCAAAGGAAACAGAACTGATAGCCATGGAGCCAAAGCACAATTTAAGGACATGCCACGTCACTTCTGCTGGGACGGATCAAGCACTTAAGCACAGCAGCAGACACCAAGTACTTACTATGGACACTTTTGCTGCATGCCAGCAAGTGCTGCGGTTTTCAGAGGGCAATAGTTTGGCTTTAATACAGTATGTGCTTCAGGACTTGTCTTTCTGCAGGAACTAGAAGTCTTTTTCCCAGTTAGAGGAAATTGCCCTGAGTTTCTCGGGCTTCCCCTTTGTTAATGCCTCCTGCCTCAGAGGTATCCTAACAGGATGCTCACCTTTCAGCTCAGGCGTTGTACAAACTACAATCATGAAGATCATATGCAGAACATCAGGTAGGTAGGACTATCACAATAAATTTAAAGAAAGTAAAAGCAGAGCTGAGTATGATGGGGAAAAAACCCCACTAAGTCAAGAAGATTAACAAAACTCTTGAGCAGTTTCTTAGGTGTACCCTGATGATTTTCAGATTTAAAACTAAGCTGAAGCAAACACTCAGCAAGGTGGTGAAGGAAAGCATCCTCCCCTGCCAGTAGGGATCAGGACTACCAGACCTGCCTGCCTTCAACTTCGACAATTTAGACTGGAATAAGCATCAAGACAACAAGGATCTGTGGAAGAACAATTATTTATCTACACCAGAATACCTCTAAACATAAACATGGAAACTAATTCAAAGGTACATTTAACATCTTGTATTTTGTCCAAAAATGAAGGCAAAACTTTAAAGATGAAGAAAAAAAAAATAAATTGAAATTAATAGTATTTGGAGTCATGACGTTAGTTCAGGTTCACGGTTCGGCTCATCCTGTATCTTGCCATGTAAGCAAACATCAGAAGCTTCCAAGCGTGCAGAATAATCTGCTATTTAACCGTCAAAATTCTCACTCTAAGCACCCTGATTAATGTACCTCTCTGTAGATGGAGCGTTCATACACCCTTCCAAAGTGAGCAGCCAGCTTCATTTCAATACTGCAATTTTTTCTCCCACTCTTAATTTATAACAGAGTATTTACATTCACATTTTGATATACCAATGCTGTTTAAAACAATAATGATAATGAAGCCCAGGAACAATTTACTAGTAATTATAGAAGAACTTTTTATTACTGAAAATGTTTGTATTGTATTTTGGTTTTGTGTTCTTAGAAGATTTTTCCATTCAAACAAGAAATAACTGGCCAAGTCTTACAGCCTTGTGTCATACAGAGTATTTGGCCATGCTGGCAACTTCACAATACTCCCATCTTCTTTTCAATGGGTCAAAACAATATGCAAGTTTATCAGTTAAATAAGGACAATGCAAGGAGAAGAATAAAACCCCTAACCCTTGATTATTCATGAAGATTGAAGTGCAAACCATTTACCTACCAAGTTGCTTACTCTTCAAAGAGAAAGCCAAGAAACGTCTACGAGAGTCTGATACGATCAGCGCTGAGGAAATAGCATCACACCAACATTCACAGGGGTTTACTACGGTCCTGTCTGCAACCTGCATGGTTGCAAAGACAGGGCGAGAAGCAACATCCTGGGCCACGCTTTGTTAATCAAAGATATATCTAAAAATCTGGTTGCAAAAATGAATGCTCAGTTGCATTCTGGCTTCAAGCCGGACTTGAAACTTTCAACGAGTTTGTTGACTTAATTTCTCTAAGTTCAAAAATGAATTATTCACTGGAAATACTGCATGCTTTACAAATTGTTTGGATTTAGTTAAATTACCATCAATTTTTCTAAACAGCAGACTTAGATTAAAATTTATAGTCTTTACTCTGGCTAAATTAATCCTATTCACTAGATGTATCAAATAGTCCAAAATTTAATTAGCTGTGAGCTGGGTCTGTAAGTTATAATTATTTAATTACACCAAAATGAAAGGATAATCAAAGTAATATATCTCCACAAGGTTTTGGACTGTCCCATATAGTTATTACAGCCAGTATTAATTTTTCTTTTTTTTTCTTTTTTTTTTTTTAAAAAAAAAGGTCACTTTCTTTTGCAATGTGAATTAATGTTCCGTTTGCTTCAGATACCACAGTGATGAGCAAAGCACTAAAGCCTACTCAAATAAAACAAAAAAGAGAACATCTAGGATTTCATAAGCAACACCATTTTAAATCTTTTCAAATTAAATAAAGTAACACGTCAGATTAAACAAATAGTACTCTGGGAGTCAAAACCTATAAATCTGTGCTTTGCTTTTTTCATTAGAGATTAGAAAAGAAAAACAAAGCTTTGATTAAGCAAAAGAAATGAACTGATCGAAATCAACCTCAACTCTTCTTTAAATGTCTCTTCACGTAACTTCTTGGAATGAGAGGAGAGAAGAGAGAAAGATTAAAACATGCTACAGGTATGAGGTCAGGTCAGCACACAAGTTTAATCTTTAATATAACCCTACACTGCTTTATGGCAGATTTTAATCACATATCCCAATTGTACTGTTGCCTCCACCTACAAAAGTTTTGTTTTACAGTTTCACACACTAAAGTAGCAGAAAGTACAAACTCACTGAAATCTGAACTCTTAATTTAAGAGAAAAGAATTTAAAGGATCCAAACTTTAATTTGCAGAAGAGAAACATTAGATATGGATATTAAAAAAAAAAAAAAAGTCTGTTTTTACTATGTGGCAGTAATGGAAATCCATAAAATTAGTATCATCTGATTTTTATGAAAAATAAAGTTAAATGATACCCCAAAGCTAGTAAAAGAACTGGCACAGCTTTCTATAATAATTATTTCTTTGTACCAATGCATTAGGTTCCTTCTAACCACAGGAATTGTAGCATTTTGAGATACAACCAGAGTCTCTGAAACAATGGGAAAAGTTTCACAAATTTTTGGATCAGTCAGATTATATAGACTGAAATCCCCAATACACCAAACCGCCAAATAATAAAGCAAGAGGAAAACACTGGAAAGGAAAATGGAATAATTAGAATGTGCATTATTCTTCCCTCACCAAAATTCTTTCCTAGCACACATTCAAACACAAAGTACGTGAAAAAAGTATTTGTATCCTTCTATGAAAAGACCAAAAGGATGCTATCCCTCAACGTTACCTTCAGTAAATGAATCTGAGAACAAGAACAGAAACTCTGACTACTATGGTTAAATAGGAATTTAAATATATCACTACTGGAGTTATGACTCTTCTCATGTGAAAATCCCACTATCTCTCTATGTTCAAGTTACTGTCCCTTTTGAGGGATAGTGCCACTTGCCTAATCCAAAGTAACTGTTTTGAAACAGGAAAAACCAAAACAATCCCACCACAAATAAGCTGAGAATAAAACACCAGTCCCCTGCATTCTAAACCAGAAGTGGCATTGTGAATTCAGCTGGGTAGATCATTTACTTGGGCAAAATGCTGATGTATTTATTGTAGCATAACATATTTATCTAAGACACTTGAAATAAAATCACAATAAAAATACATTTAGCCCAAAAGCCCTCTGGCTTTGAGATATGACAGAAATGGCATTAAAAAAGGACAAAAAAAAAAGAAAAAATTGCTTCTCATGCGGCAGTCCAGAAGGGACAACAGGGAAACTTGTACACCGACTCTTTACTACGAAGACTAGCTTTTGCTCTTTCAAGAAGTGCTGTGGCCTCCTAGAGCAAAACATCCAAACGAGCCGTTTCCTTCCACCTCCTGCCCCATTTTCAGCAAGACAAGCAGGGACAGGAAGATGGCAGAAAATCCCAACATCAGTAATTTAGCATAACAGGGCTCCGTACAGCTTGGTTTATTAATAGAACGCAGTTGACTCTCTTACGGAGAGATGATAATAACAATAATAATAATAGGGTGGATTATTCAGCGTGAATAAAAGCTACCAAAAGGACAAACCCATGCAGAGCTCACGAGCAGCAGGGCTTAACAGCACAGGTACAGCACCACGTGAACGCGCTGCGGGCCATGCTGGGCACAATCAGCCGCAGGACTAAGCCCAAACTAATAAGATACGAAGCAGTGCAGACACCTGCACTAAAACAGCAAGAGTGCAAGGCAGGAGAACCACAGATGGTTTCTTTGCTTGGAACAAGAACAGAAAAGCAGAACTTGTGTTATGTAAAAATATATTCTTTTGTACAAGGACCAAATTGTGACCCAAGTAATTTTCCCCCATGCATGAAAGTAGGATGAAAGGACCTTCTCACTCAAAAAGCTGTTTTCTCCAGCAACACACTCATCCAAAATACATCTGATGATGTATTAAAAAAAATGATTACATGCAGGTTTATGTGACCTGCATTTCACTCAATGTATAGGCTGGATTGACTTTGAAAACGAGCCAGGATCGTGCCCCCAAAAGACTACTGTTGTTTAGAGAAGCTAAAAGTGAGATGATACATCAGTAATTCAGTGACAGAAGATTTTAAGAATAAGGAGCTGAGGCAGTCTGGCAGCATCCCACATCCTTCAACGGAATCCAATCAAACTCCAGTTCAAAAGAAAAATGAAGAGGTAATATCTATCTATCTGTCCCCCCATCCCATTAACCTTATCCCCATCAGCAGCCACGGGGAATAGTCTGCACACACTGCAGCAGCATCCACTGTTTTAAAGGAGCCACACTGACCAACAGGATTCGCTGGGGCACCCCAGGACAGCGCAGAAATGCTAGAGGCTTCCTAAGATGTCAATCCCTTCTCCTACTGATACACTCTGGTATTCAAAACTGATGTGTAATCAAAGATGCAGATGTAAATATATTTAAAACATGCAGTTAGATGAGGGTTGAGGGTGGTCTATTTGCTGATGATCAGATGAGAATACTGGGGAAAATGACCTCAAATGTTTATGTGGTTGTTTTTCTACACAGTAACTAAATATTTGACCAGTGGGCAATGGCCAGCAGCTCAGTCTGCAGGTAGAGCAATTCAATACCTACACACAGTGAAGCACTACCCAAAGGAAGAGAAGTTAAGTTGCTACATCAGTAAAGACTGTCCATCCGGGTCTCTGAATGAGGGAAGGATACCATGGGAGAGATAAAACGCTTCTGTGATCGACAACCACGCTCACAGCCTTTAATTTTATGTCTTTAACTGGAGAAAACCAAACAATCTGGATTCTGTCATTTCTTCACTTCTGAACACTTGAGTTTGCCATTAATGCTCTTTTAATGTATTTTGTTGTAGAAGACACTGCAAGTAAAGCCAGTTGACCACCTTGCCCTCTGCACCACTGACATCAAAGTAGCATGAAGTCATATTGGAGATACTTGAAAGCTATCTGGACACAGTCCTGGGCAACTAGCTTGAGGTGGCCCTGCTTGGAGCAAGGGGGGGTTGACCAGATGACATCTGGAGCTCCCTTCCAGGCCCAACCATCCTGTGATATTCCTGCCACGGTGACCCGTATACTTCTTGGCTATAAGGATCCCTAATGGCTACTGAAAGAATTATTAAACCTAATGGTTATTGAAAAAAACCTGCCAGCGTAAATGCCCATTAGTTCCATTTCAATGCTATTCGCATAACACTGAAATGCTTTTAAAAGACAAAAAAACCCAGAGCTGTGAATAATTGACCACTGGTGTGAACATGAGACGTCCGTACATGACTAACGCACAACCCAATCCTTTGTAATACAGGATGTTTTGACACTGGATACATACTCACTGGGGACCAGAATGAGATCACCACATCCTTTCATATAAGTAATCGCACTTCTGCCCACTAGTGACACACCTTTAATTTGATTGCAAAGGTAAACAAGAGTGGTAGTTACTAAAGTCTCTTTGAACTTCAGTTTATTTGAAGTTTGGCATTTTTGAGATGTGAACATCACCTTCCTTCCACTGAAGAAAAAAAAAAATCATTTTATCTCCAACTTGACAGGGAAAGGAAGTAGGGCAACACCACCACTACTTTGGAAAATGCTACTTGTAACACAGCTCATGCATGCAAATCCCAAGCCTTGAGATATACGTGATTAATCACAGATGGTGCATCTTACTACTAGCAACACTTAACATTAGATCAAACAAACACTGCAAGGAATAACTCACAAGGTATATTCAGTGGATCCTTCTTTAAGGGAAAGTATTGATACAAAAGGCTCTACCTTTCCTTTCCCAGGAGCCACCTGGTCTGTGATATACACAGAGGAAAACAGCACCCTAAGTCCTTTCAACTGGTATACACCCCAAATTCAACAATTTTATTTTTTTTACCATTAGAATTTGGCACCAGGGACAGAAAGAACATAAATTTGAAGGAGAAAGTAATTTTCCTACTCTACACCAGTATGGTATAGACCTTCATACCATTTATCACACTTAAAAAAAAAATAATAAACTTCAGATGGTGTTGCTATTATAGCAAAACAAGTCTTTCTTGTACTATGTGTATTGAAAACCCATAATTACAGAACTATTAGACAATGACAAATGCTTAGACAATTCTGAGTACTCCCAAGGTATCCCCAGGCAGTCAAATTGCTCTTTCTCAAGTCAAGAAACGTGAGAAAATAGGTGGTTCTCAGAGAGTTGCTGAAAGATCAAAAAATCACCACCCATGGAGAACAGTAGGTCAGCATATACCAGCTCTTCTTTCCAAAGGAAAGACCCTCAGGGATGCCTGATACTTTTAAACCACTAAAGCCATCATGACGTGGGGAACCACTGCAGGTACTGCAGTAAAGTGTCATTCTGAAACAGCTAAAAATCAGATGAAGTGTAGGAAATCTGCATTTTCAATCTGAAGGTGAAACAAGGAGATGGGAGAAAAAGCAAAGACAAAATACTTCACTTGCTAACGAGCTCTCTTGCCTTGTGGGTGAACTTGTGCCAGACACAACTAAGGAAAATAAGTATTTTAAGTTACAACAGATCAAAACAGATTACAGCACAAAATTTATTTTCAGGATGCGGAATATCCCTGTCATCTGTAAAAACACATATGGTAGCTTTGAGGGGGGTTTGTTTTTTTTAATGTAAGGTGTGAATTTCCCTGTGAAACCACATATGCACTACAAGGATAGATTTACTGTCCCCTTCCTGCCTTTCAGCAGTCCCTCCCCAAGCATAGCTTGTGAACACGCTGAGAGCACAGACTTCACTGACAAGACATTAGTTTTCACAGGCCAATGATTTTTGTTTCACTGAAAACACATTTACCTGCCAAAGGCCAAGTTCTCAGTTGGCATAAATCAGTGCAGCTCCTTGCCTCAGCCACCTAATTCTATTTGCCGGCTTTATTTAAGGTTCAAACGATAGCTTCACATATGCCTCTCCCTCTCTCCATATGAACCCTGCTTAGTAGTTAAAGGAAACACTTACCTCCAGAAGTTCATCGCCAATATGCATCCTTCCATCTCGTCCCGCAGGTCCATCTGGATTGATACCAACTACAAAGATGCTCATACGAGAGCGGTCCTTGTTGCCAGCAAGACTCAGTCCGAGCCCATTTTTGTCTTTCTCAAGCTCAATAATGTGCAACTCTCCTGGTAGGTCTGCATATCTTTGCCTGATTTTTTCTAAAAAGATCAAACATAAAATGAGTTATAACATTAAATAACTTACATGCAGATGTTCAAGAACACATACAAATAAGCTAGAAATTGATGGCTTCTCAGCATTTACTCTTTGGTAACAGAGGTAACTCCAAAATACCATTTCGTGTGCCTGTATCATTCACACAGCAAAATACAGCATCAGCTGCAAATACTATTCATGCTAAAACTGCACTATTTTAATTATTTGTACAACAGCCTAGTTCTAAACCAAAAATTTTTTGAAAGGAGGGTAAACAAGGGAATTCCAGAGGCACCTCGATCTTACCGTACAAAAACTATCAATTTCAGGAAACTCTCATAAAGTTAGAACTCGTTAATTAACCACTGTGGGAAACTGAAATGCTTACGTTGCAAACATACCGTGAACTCACATCTCAAGGTAGAATCTTTTACTTTTGCTTCTTTCTGGTGACTCAGGAATATGCCTACCATGCTCTGCTTAACATAATGTGCTACTGTGCGGATGATTACTCAAAGCAGATGTCAGTGACAATGTATATGATTGATTACATTTTTAAATGCAGCCTCACTTGATATCAAGGTAGTTATTTGTCTTTCATCTACATTTCAACCGGTTCTGTGACAGAGTGCAATATACTTCCAAAGTTATTTGGAGCACATTGCACGTCTGTGGATGCTGACAGTTTAATCTGAATGTCTTTTCACCACTGGCATACAAACATCTATAACTACTGCTTGCAAGGGTCAATCACATCAAGGGTAATTTTTTTTTTTCTGTCTGATTGTCCTTTGCAGATTTTAAAGCCAGCTTCATAACACCACCTGCATCCAACGCTTCAGCTGGGCCACACGTTAAAAAAAGCAAGTCAAAGTATTTTGCTGTGGCTGGATGTCACCTTTAGTACAGAGCCCAAGGTGAAAGAAACTGCTGCATTATGCATTAAGAAGAGAAATAAGAGATATTATATGTTCAACCATATCCCTGAGTCAGCAGCAGCAGCTAGATCAATATTAGCTACTACCATTCTACTGGGGAAGCATATTTTAATAGTACGATTTAACCACTGTAGTGAATGTTCCCATGACAACAAGGAAGAGGGGAAAGAGCTGGGGAAGGTGAGAGGGAAGCAACTAAAAGTGAATAAAAACTGCTGAGAAGACAGACAATGAAGTAGAGCTGTTCCTTCCACTGCAGGCTGCCAGGGTGATTCAGCCAAACTTGGGTCCACCCCGGCAGCTCTCCCTTTCCAAGGGTCCTTTCCAAGCAGTTTTTCCAGCTGCAGCAGCTCCTCATGCTTCAGCAGAGACCGCTGGGACAGGGGGAGCAGTCTCCTGTCTCCAACCCCAGATGCACCCAAAAAAATTACCTACACTCAGAGCAACACAGACAAGAACCAGCTCTCTCATCGCTGTATTTACAGGCTGGCATTTTCCTGCAGGGCTCAAAATCCCTGGTGGTCTGGAGCCTGAGCCTCAAATCCTGGGGTGTTTATTAAGGGTGAGATGTTATCCCTGGAAAGCTGTAAAGCCCTACAGAGGTCTGCACAAAATCAGAATATCATAAAAAATTAGAAACCTCACTTGTTACTATCAATTATATGCCAAAAATTCATATAACTGCATTAAATGGTAATCCATGTAGCTGCACAGTTCTTTAATACATTTCTTAACTAATGGGGTCAAAATGTAATTAGAGGTGTGATTTGCTACTTGAATTCAGAAAGTAGTATTTTTCTGCTTAGCATGCAGGATACCTCCTGCCGAAAAACTGCAAGTGAGGAAAGGTCTTGAAAACGGTGCTTCTGAAAGTACAGCAGATGCAAGCTGTAGATGCCCAAGCAGCCACACGTGTTTTGTTCACACCATCGAGGTTTAACATCCTTTTCCCATTAAGCAAAGTCCAGGCCTGAAGAGCACTAAAACATTTTCTGCCCACCACAATTAGACAAACAACTCATTACAGCGCAGCAAGTAGCTGCAGTGTATCCCAGCTGTAAGAATATTAAGAACAGGTCATCAGCAGAAAAGGGATTTCTTAGTGATTGCACTTTTGTGGATAAAGCAAAGAATCAGTGCTCTGGAGGGATGCTGACTGATCATTGCTCTGCCACAGTTCCTTCCATTGCTCATTTTACATGGACACCACGTCTCACTTTCAATCGCTAGGAGCAAAGCACACGTCTAAAGCACGTTTTTAGGAACTCGCAGTTGGACGCACAGAAAGAGGCAGAGGGGTGAGGAGAACACGCACGCACAGATGAAGCTGCACATCTTTGCAGACTGCTTCAAAACTCATTTCTCGCTTGTCAGTAAAACTACTTAAAATTCCCCAACACGGGCCTGATGCAGGAGCAGCTCTGCGACACTGTGCACATGGACACACAGCTCCAGCCTCTCTCTGCAGACAAGTACCTCTTGAGACTACCGGTGTCAGTAAGTCTGTAAACTTTGCAGTGCTTCCTCCTGCTTGGAGGAGCCCAAAATGAGTTTTCTCACATGGGAAAAATGTTAGCTGTGCAGAAGTACACTTATATTCCTGTTCCGTGCTGGGCTAAAATTAAAAGTTTTGGTTCTCCAAAAATTAGTAGTTAGGGCAATTGCCTGGGATGAGACAGAGCCCCACTGAAGTTTCTGGTCTACCTCTATTGGGCCAGGACTGGAAACCTGGTGAGCTGATGCCTAGCTCAGCACTCCAGCTGTGTCAGTAATCCCCCACTGTGGGAACAATTCTTTGGGTAAAGAAAAATTTATCTGGGGAAAAAAACCAGAGACCAACTCCAGGGGTCATCAAGGTGCTTCAGTTGTTAAGAGGTGTTTGGGGTTTTTTTTTGTTTTGGTTCTGTTTTTTGGTTTGTTTTTTGTTTTGTTTTTTTTGTTTTTTTTAAAGGGTATTCCCCACTGCATGTCTGTCTTTGAAAAAACCCATACTTGGAAGGAAAACTCTGTGTGGACTAAGCCCTGCACTGAATTATCACATTAATTTATGAAGCTACTATTTGAAATGGCTGAGGTGATCGGAGTGGTAAAATAGCAGAAGCCTACAGAGGAAACAACGAAGATGCTACGTGCTGAGCGCCACTTCCAGCCCGGCAGGAGGGCACCGTTATCGAGTGCAGCCAGAGAAGACGCGTGTGTACATGTTCACGCATGTAGAGACAAGCAGAGACACCCTTGCTTTTAAAATCAAGCCTCCCTTAGCAGGGCATGCTGTCTCCTTGCTGAACAACAGAAGGTTCTGGCTCTCGCAAGCCCCACCTCCTGCAATTAAACACGTCCAAGGGCTGTCCTCACCAGCCAGCCTTGCAGTGTAAATGATAACGCGCTATTCCCGGTGGTGTCCTTGCGTTACTCATCCGATCTGCATACAAATATCCTTTGGGCATCCAGCTGACTTCCTATAACGCTGTAATCATATTCTCAGTTTGCCTCTTAATAAGAATCTCATAAGATTATTTTAAACAAGTATTTACTGCTTAAACAAACGTGCATCTAAGGCATCTTCTTTTTAATGCCTTTTTCAGCTGTTTTTTCTCCCCTCCAGCTGGTATCACTTTTCAGTTCTCTGCCTAGCATTGGGGAGCCAGTTAGCATCTGCTTTTGCAAAGAATTCCATTATCTGCCTTCATTACCAGATACTTTACACAAGGCAATTGTAATTCTGTTGTTGCTGCATTACACATGGGACACAGCGTTTCTTGTTTTGGCACTACATGGAGTTGTTTCCACATTCGGTGACAATATGCCTATCACAACTTCTGCAAACATATCTCACCAACGATATCCAACTAGCTAAGGTTGCATCCAGTTTCTTTTAAAAATACTGTTCAGATGTGTCATGAACTAAAAGCACAAGTATACGCTTTAGTGATCACTCCTGTGATAATATTTCCCAGTTATATTAGCAGACAATTACATTTCAAAGGACACCCTGGAAATGCAAGACAACTGCTTTCAAACAATATACTATTATGCTGCTGCATATGTTTCCCTGCTTCAGCCGCTATTCCTATTATATTAAACAGAGAGATAAAAGAAATAAATGGGGCCAATATGGTCAGGATATTGGAGTTCACATGATCTAGCATTGCAACAAATATACAATTTATCTGCATGGAAAAAAAACAGACACCAGCTCTCAGGAAGGCAAAAGGGTCTTTAAATCACAAAGATATATAAAGCACTTGCAAAGGGCTGAGAAGCCTGTTTCCCAAAACTGCTGAAATCTCCTGTTAAATGAGCTGAAAAGGGAAGAGGTGTTTCTTTTGAAAATGGTGTCTCTGCGTGATGCAAATTAGAGTCCATCTAGAAAGGTAAAAAGAGGAAAGAAAAAGCTCTGGATGACTCAGCTAGGTGGTTGGTTTTCATACCAAATGCTCAATATTAAAACTGCCAAGGCAAAATACAGAGAAAAGAAAGGAGAAAAACCACCACAAAAGCAGATGACGGATGATATTTGTGTATAGAAGGTGATACTGAGGATTTTACATCCCTCTTGCATTACCTCAGATAACTATTAGCAACATATGCTGGCTTTTGGAGACTTTGCTGTGGTCTCATTTATCAGCCTGCATTCATTTTTATGGTTTTAGCTACCATTTTTATCACGTAGCACATAACACGGTTCCAGTCTTAGCCTTTTCTGAGATTGCTCTGCTTGGACAGCAGTGCTGCAGCATCACAACTGCTGGTTTTCGTTTAGTAATGATAGATATCAGAATGCAGCCAGCATCCACTACACAGAGCCAACCTTGCATATCAAACAACTAATTCCCTTCTTGATTTCACTATAAACATTAAAAAAAAATAATAATGTAGGAAGTCCCTTGAAAGCTAACCCTAGAGCTGTGAGGGCAGCACGTCTAATTTACTGATTACAATTTACAAGAACCTAAATAAGCATATTGAAGGGACCATAATTGAACAAATGGGGTTTAGAATTCTCCCACTACTAATAATATAATAAGCTTATTGTTTTAATCTTCCCACTAGCTGTCTATTCA